TTTCTCATGTCTACGTTCTTCTTTCCTTTCTCTCCCTCTTCCTTTCCGCAGTATCTGTTATGAGCCTGGTCAGCTAGAACGCGGTGAGAGGGAATAGAAGAAGCTGATTCCTGAGGGAATGGCCATGTTGCAAAAGGCTTTTATCTGTTCTAGTTAGAAAAATAAATGTAATTTGCAGCTTGTTCATTTGGGGCTTGCAGGAAAAACTTTGAGAATCCCCAGAACAAAAAACAAACAAACAAACAAACAAACAAAAAAAACCACGATACAATAAGTTAGGAGTAGGTCTTCACCCCACCTTAAGAAAGCAAACCTGCAGCACAAAGATCTTAAGAAACCCTCTGAAGCTCAGAAGCAGAACTGGAGACAAAACCAACACGTTCTGCCAGCGATCGAGCTATCGAAGTCATAATGTCCCTTTTGTGTCTTGCTGCTTTTTTTTTTTTTCCAATACAAACACTGATCTAAAACAACATCTGTAATCAGGTGATGTGTATGATGGAAAATTCCTCTCTGGAAGCCTTGCCAAGCGCTGGGCCCTGTGAAAAGGGATAGAATCTGATAAGGTCCCACCTTGGAAGCAGCAGCTCAGGAAGTGCGCTCGCAGAGGCAAGCCTGGGACGGTCCCCTCGTGGCTGCTGCTCACCTCGCCCTGCGAAAACTGTTTTCACGTTTTAAGATAATCCTGCCAAATACCTGTATTTTGGTGTCTTCTTGTTGATCTGTCATTTCACAAGACAATCTAGCTACCAAAGGCCACTTCCAAAATATGTAAAGCATTCTCATTGTCTTTCCCTCTGTGGGAGATAAGAGCTTCATAAAAGGATGCAGGATTTACAAGTTTGTCTTGAACTGAGCAGAACACCTCACGTTTCCCAGGTGAGGAGGACACTGTCTGTTTTATCAGTTCTCAGAAAGAAGAAATGCTATCTTCCAATGGAAACTTCCTTCAGAAATGTCAGTGCAAGGAGCCTGCGGGATAAAATTAACTTCTTAGGCACAATGAAAATTAATTCACTCGCAAGAAAAAAATAAAATCTCTGCTCTCTACGCCAACTCTGGCTGGGAGGACGCTTCTTCCAGTCCTTCAAATGGAGGGCTATGCCCTGAGGATTAAGGATTATTTCTCAGAACGGGCCCCCCACAGGAATGTGGGGATACAGGTTAGACAGCCACCAGGAAGCAAGGAGGCTCCTCTGGCACATTGTTTAGCAGCCAAGAAGGATGCCAGGCATCAGACAAAGCAGCCTAAACAGAGATGTGATACCATTTTGTTCAAAAACCTGTCTTCTTTCCAGGCAAGGCCTCCGAATCCACTGCCAGGAGGCTGGGAGAGAAGGGGATTCTCACGCATAAGCCAGCTCCTGGTCCTGCGTATGTCGCCCTTGGAAAGCAAAGCCAGTCACCAAGAGTTCTGGAAGCAACGTCGTCAAAGGCTGAAAGGAACTTTCATTCCTTGGCAGCATCTACGCTCTGAGATGACACTTGGAGACGAAGGCCCCTATTCTTAGAAGCACAACCCCTGCAAGGCTGTGCAGGGTTTGCTGCTCTGGGTGAGTCTGTTTTCCTAAGGTCCCTTCTCTCCAGGCCCAGCGTCAACAACCACCTCCCCAGTGTCTTAAAATAGGTTTGGAACTTGGCGAGGATTTCCTGTGGAACTCGGGTTCAAAAATGTTTGTTCCTCTATAGGAACAAATCCTGCTTAATCGCTTTTATTGTTCCTGGCCACATTTCTTGGATTAAGACGCCGTATCACCGGAAGAGACACCGTGGCGCACACACCAAGCTAACATGACCTGTTGTTGCGAACACCAAGAAGCAAAGATGAAAAGCCCAGATCCTTCCAGCGCAAGCTCCCTCAACAGCAGCAAATTAATGTCTTTCCACAAATATGGCATTTCAGTCATGTAAGAAAATGTGGAAAACATCAAAGTGTTTTTAACTGCATTTAACAGTAAAGGTTTGTTTTTGTTTTTGTTTTTTCATTTGTGGGTTTGTTTTTTTTTTCCACGTGGGCCAATTAAGCCCATTTCTATCTAAGACAGGAACTGGGGTCCTGGCACCTTGCAACCATCTGACATTTAAGGACGACATTCCTGAGATCCTGTCAGCTAAGAAGCTGGGTCGGCAGTGACCCATCACCGCCACTACCATCATCTTTGTTGTCATCGTTGTCACCATCAGCATCAGATACGTATGGCCTTGCGCTGCGGGAAAACCTAGCGTAACTCAGAGGGCGTCACCCGTGTTAAATGCTTCCCCTAAAGGCAAGGGAGCTTCACACAGCATCTCTCCTACTTTGAAAAGTACACAATTGGATATGTCTCCATGTGATTTACTTAAAAGGAGAAGAAATTATTAACAACAGCAAGACCATGTTTAATGTTAGGAAGAGAAACACGAAATCTAAAAATTTGAAAAGCAGCTTTTCTGCACTCTTTTAATCTACCAACTTTTTACTCCTCGTTCGCAGAAACAGGAGGAACAATTCTAAGTCCGACAGAAAAGAGTGTTTTCAGGGACTTATTTCTAAAACTTGAGGCACCTGCTGGCGTGTTCAAGCCGTTTCGGACTGCGCTGCCCCGACTCGCCCGCCTTCGGTGTGTGCTCCACGGTAACTTACCGTGTTTCTTTGATCCCCTGAAACGTATACAGACGTCCCCACTAGGTCTCAGTGAGGAATCATGCCGTGACTTGACTGCACACGGTCTAGGATGCAAGCTTTCTCCGACACAGCCTCCCAGTTATAACCACCACAGAAAAGAAACTGGCTGGAAGGCATCGCAGACGCCCCCCGCAAGGCTGTGTGTGCGCACGGCATCCTGGGTCCCCTGCGTCTTTCTCAAACACCGTATTCTGCCGAGTATAATGCGTACTGGTTGCCCCAATTTTTGAGGGGAAAATAAGGATGTGCATTATACACGGGTAGTACTAATTCCGTATCTACATAAATGTTTTTCTTTCTTTTATTTACCCTTATGTGTTAAAAGTGTAACTGTAGAAAGCAATAATGATATCTGTATGCAAAATAACACCCTGGAATACGATCATTGGTTTTATATATAAGTAAAAAACTGAATTAAAAAATTAAAACGAAAGATTTTTTTTTTCCCCTGAAAGTTTGGGCTAAACACATAGGTGCACGCTATATATGGCAAAATACAGTAAGTGGACTAGCAGCTTCTCTCTTTACAGTCTCCGGACGGGGACTAAGACGCCGCGACCACCTTCGGCTTCAAAGGACTAAGCTTTAATATGAAGCAGAAGCTGTGGACACTGGCTTTCGCTTCGGCCTCGCTGAGCACACGGTTGGACTCTTCCCACGGTGGGAAGGAGGGAGAGGGCACTTGGGAAACCCAGGGGGTGGCTTCTATTTCCACATGAATACACGAGGCCACCCCGTCACCTCCCGAGCGGGGGTCCTTGGAGTGCGTTCTTCGTGATGCTGTGGAACAGCCTGAGTTCCACCACCAACAACATGAAACCCACGCGTGACAGATTAGGGAAGTAGAAGAAAGCAAAGCCGGGAAGTCTCTGGGATTGGAGAAAAAGTAAAACAAGGAACACAGACTTCTTTTCCATAGCTGAGAACAGGGTAGTTAACAGTTAAGAACAAACATGAAAATCGTCACAATGAAGGGTTTTGCAACTTTTTGCAAAAAACCCTTAAAAAGAAAGCAAGTTTTTTTTTGTTTTCCCAGATGAAAAAGTCCTCAAAGGGAAATGTTTTGCCAACGTGGAAGGGGTGAAACAAAAAAATGGCAGAAGCACTAAAAGGCATCCAAATCGATGAGTTCAAAAACTGTTTTAAGCAGTGGGAAAAAAGTTTCAAATTGTTTTAAGTTTATTTTTATAAATAAATTCCAGTTTTTTGGGGCCTCCCCTTATAACTAGGATTGTTTTTCACTTCCAAGGAAGAAGATACGTACTTTTAATGAAATGCAATGAAGACAAAGAAAAAGAAATTCAATGGAAACCCATTTCTGACCGCAAAGAAAACAGGAGAAGACCCCTAATTCTCAGGGGTCAACCACAAAAAACCTTAAACATTAACTGACATTATCATCTCATAAATTAACGCAAGACCTGGTCGACTGGGAAGTTTGCACTTTAAAGAGCGGCATATTTGTTACACCACGCCAACCCTGCTGGCCAGGGGCCACCCTTTGCAAGCCAATAACGCACCTAATGGAGTGAGGGCCCTGCTCAGGCTTGAACTCTGGAACCTTGTCCTTCCGGTGCGGGTGGATTTGCTAAAACAGCTCCCTCCCCTCTCCGGGCATCCCAAACGTGAGTCAAGGATTGAGAAGACCAGGCGCCAAGATCTCGCTAAAGGAGCTGAGAGTCACAGCGGCAAGGTCGAAAACCTGTGCCTTAACGCAGCTGCTTCCCTTAGTTTCGGGGTGGTTCAAGGGCACTAATACGTTACACTGTATTGTGCACACTCAGAAAGTCAACACAGAGCGCTGGTCCGTTCTCAGCAGGCACTGGACTAGTTCAATGGACTACAGAGACAGCGCACGTCAAGTCTTGCTGGAGTTGCTCGCTGCCCCTCCCGAACTTTGGCAAGTGACTTAGAGTGAACAAGTTCAGTGAGTGCCAGGTAGCAAATCCGACGGCACCCATAACTCCCAAAGGCCACAAGGCCCTGCTTTGTCCCAACCCCCCTGTTCTTTTTACTTCCCTCCTCCAAAATCTCCATCAGTACCTGAAGACAATGCACCAGCAACCTTCCAGGAGCTAGCAAGACAAAAAGTGTAAGTGATGTCCTGTACACTATTTTTGAAAAGCAGAAACATCTTGTCATATTGACATTCGGAAAAGTCTAGCACCAGAAACAATATGAATGGCACTGCAAGTGTATTAGAAAATGTATTTCTTAAATGATATTTGTGTGATTTACTTCAAAGAGTGATTAGCAGTTGCAAAGAGAAAAACATAGATAGAAATAAAAGCATATTTTGATTTGAATTTTATTACAACCTGCATAGTTAACCCACCTCAAGTTTAAGTAGGTCAGCATCTGCAGATTAACGATGGCTTCAGGAATGACTCTGATACAATTGTGATGCAGATTAAGAATTTCCAGTGACACGAAGTGGCACAATTCCATTGGAACTTCAACCAGTCTGTTTTTAGATAAATCTACGAGAAAAGAAAAGAGTGGTCAATATCTTCAACATAATCCAATACAAACTGATCAACTATCATACTTTTTTCTTAACATGTTTTAAAATAATCATCATAACCTACATGTAGATCGACATTATCATTTTCTGCACCGCTGTGAATAGGGCGTTGTGATATCCACTTATTAGCGTATTAGCTTAAGTCATAAGGAAAAGCGAAAATACTACTGCAACAGTTTCAGCTATGTTAATTTGTAAATTTAGGCCAGAAAGAGGGGTAACTGAATCAATATCTACTTTTCACATCATCTGAAAATTATTTCAAAGTTAATCTCCCCTGGACAAGGATGTAAAGCTGTACCCTGTAGCCTCTCTGAGCACCTATATTTACCCCGGCATTTAATTTGTTTAATTCAATTCTGCATTCATAACATGTACTGTCTCTCGGAATATGACTTTTCTGTCTTCCGCAGGCAAGCACACAGCAGATGCCAAGCAAATGCGCCGCCCCCGGGGATTACAGAGTGCCCACGATGTGTGAGGAAGACCGCGCTGTGTCTGCCGCCTGGCCTGCAGCAAAACAGGGTTCCCGTGGTCTGCGGAGCAAAGTAAAGCCACGTAAGGTTTATAATGCCGCCATGTCAACAATAAAAATGGAGAAGACCCCTTCCTGTCTCAATCTGGGAATGGCAGGAATTTATTGTCGAATGCCGTAAAACACTGAACATAAGACAAGTCAGTCAGCAATGACGGATGACCCCGTACTTGAGTAGAAGGGACTCAATTTAGGAAAACTTAAATAAGTCAACGCTATAATGAGACAACAGCCAGAGGACCGCCTTCACGGCAGTCCTTCCAACAAACAAATCCATAAATAAACAAAAAACAGGCCTAGATGACTTCAGAGGGAATTCTAAGAAATTCTAAAGGGACAATTCTGACAACATTTAAACTATTCCAAACCATGTAAAATGAAGGAAAGTTTCAAATTCGTATGTAAACAGTCAGGTATAATATTGATGCCCTGACCTAACAAGAAAGTATATGAGCAACCCTTCCCAGTACCGAGCTAAGTTCTAAATTCAAAAATTAGCAAACAGAATTGAGCACTACATAAAAAGACTGGCATACTGAGACTAGGGAGAATTTATGCTAGGAATATAAGGCTTTTGAATTATTATTTAAATCATTCACCATATAAACAGAGCAAAAGTGAAATGCTACATGATCATCTCTATATATACTTTATTGTTTTATATATCATGAAATTGACCTATTTCAAGTGCACAATTCATCAATTTCTAGTAATTTTACCAAGTAGTGTATTCAGCACCATACATCAGCTTTAGAACATCTGTATTCATTCTTAATGTCATTGCTCAATAAAAGGAGAACAGTTAAACATTTCCTTACATAATTTATAAACATGAGAGAATATGCTTTTATTTATTGCTACATCATGAATGCCTAGAACTGTTACCGTTAAAATCAAGACAGACATCATTACTGTTGTCACTACTATTGCTATTTACTCTTATTCAGGAGGTACTAGTCAATGACATGGGATAATAAAAGAAAGGACAAACCAAAATTGGGGGGGGGGAGGCAAAATTATTATTATTTACAAGAAATATGAGTGTTTTCCAGGAAAATCCAAAAATATTAGCTGAAAAACTATTACAAATGTAAAAAGGTAGAGGATAGGAAGTTAATATACTGAAATGATAGTCTTCACACACAAACACACACACATACAAACTAGAAAAACGATACAACAGAAGAGACCTAACTTACTAGAGCAAAAGAGTAGAACACCTATGAATCTTAAGACATATGCAAACGTGGAAAAAGTTTTCTACTATGAAGAAAACTTTACAATGTGACTCAACAACACGTAAGAAAAGGTAAAATAGATGACCAGATATTTCATGATTTTAAAAAAGACAACACTATGAAAAAGGTGTCAACTCTCTCTGAACTATACCCATATAATTTAATACACTCTCAATTAGGAAAATACTTCTAGGATACACTTCAAAAATTTGTTGAGGTTATGGTACAAGTTTGCTTCTGAAGTTCACAGAGTAAAACCACAATGCAAAAAAATTGCGGCATCACTCAAAAAAGAAGAGTTCTGAGGCAACCCCACTCTCCTAGATGCCGATGACATATCATGAAGCCGTGTGGTGGGCAGACAGGAAGTTCAATGGGACAAGTGACCAAAGATGGGAACGAGGTGAAAGATGCAAATACATGGAAGTCACGGGTGCGGCAAAGGTGGCATTTCAAGTCAACAGGGGAAAGATGCCGGGCAAGGAGACAGCCTGAGAACACCGGATCGCATCTTACGCAAGCAAGCGAAAACAGGACAGGCACCTGTTTCACCTCCTGTCCCTCAATAAATTCTAGATGAATAAAGTGATCATTTGTAGACGGTGAAGCCGTAACAGCACTGGGACGACACATGGGAACATTGTGACCTATGACTGGCACTGAGCAAGGCTGATACACCTGACACATTAAAAACAGAATGTACGGCATTTTAAAACAAAAACCTTCCCCAAAACACAAATGACACTTGAGGAAGAGCGGGGAGGGTGGGAAGGCCAACAATTCATAAACCCAATAGGCTACATTTTTGAAATATAAAAATAGTTTCTACAGTCAACAATAATAAGACTGAAAACCAAAATAATAATAATAAAACAGAAATGAGCAGGCAGCTCACAGAAAAAGCTCTTAAGCATATGAAAAAAAATGATCACACTCAAATGGCAGCGATGCAAATGGCGACTCCAAGGGAGAGTCTTTTTCATCTACTAGACGGGTCAATATCAAAAAGCGTGACCCACAGGTTGTAATGCTGAGGCCATGGAGATGTAAATGAAGGACATTTCCGCAAAGCCCATCAAAATTAAAAATGTACATCCACTTCACCCTAGCAGTCTTTCTCATCGACAGATAAACTCCTACCTGTGTAAATGACATTTTTAAACACAGTGTGAAACAGCAAAAGATAGAAGGCAATTTAAATATCAGTGGAGATCTGGTTATATATTACTATACTATCAAAGAGATCACAAATAAAACAAAATTAAACCAAGTAAAAATATAATAATACTATGTCATGTGATGGAATATCGTATTAAACATTATGTTCCATAATAGAAAGCTACTACTATGCACCCACGTAAATGAGTAACGCAGTTTCATACGTGCTGAAGTGGGGCAAGCTCCATGATACAGTGTGATTTTTTTAAAAAACCAGGTACACAACAGTGTATAAAGTTTCTGTGTTTTTAAATATGTATATATAACTGCTTGCATATACAGAGATTGTCTCTGGAAGGCTGTACAAGACACTGGTGTAAGTGTTCCTTTTCTGGGGAGAGGATTTTTTTTTCTGGGGGAGGACAGGAGCGGAAGGGAGACTTCCCCACAGTAGACCCTCTCGTACCTTTCACAAGTTTGAGGGATGAATTATATGAAGTCTGTTGAGAAGGTATCCAGCCATGTAATATGTAAAATAGAGACATTTACTGAAGAAGATACAAGAAACACTGTACACAGGACAATGACGCCTCAGTCTCCTTCAAAGGAGGCACCATGGGACCTCATACAGTTCTCCTAACCACCATTGGCTGCACCGTCGTATTTTCCTGAATTTCATCGATGGTCTGAAATCTCTTCCCTTTCAAAGGTGATTTTAGTTTTGGGAAAAGCCAGAAGTCGCAGGGCGCCAAACCTGAGCTATAAAGGGGCTGAGTCAGCTGGGTGATTTGATGTTTTGCAAAAACACTCTGCACTAGACGTGATGCATGAGTGGGCGTGTTGTCATGATGAAGCTGTCAATAACCAGTTGCCCCTGGCTGCGGCCTTCTGAATCATCCGTATAGTTTACATCATGCATGTTCAAGCTTAATGCAAAATTGGATGCAAATTCGTTGCTCTACTCAGTCATTTTGAATGCGACGGCCACACAGTTCACATGCTCACTCAAGGGCATCTACCACCCCCACTCACTAGTACAGTGAAGTTGTCATTGCTCACACATGCGCATTCCAGCCCACTCTCCTTGGCTGCCAGGTTACATCGATGTCACACAAACCATTCTTGTTATATTAATAATGGTTGGACTTTTTCTGGACAGACCTCATATATGTACATATAGAAACCATATGGATTACATATAATAACATACATAAATTTCTCTCTCTCTCACAACTTCCCACCAGCATTCATATTCTTTCTCCACACAAAGAATTTCATTTCTTTTGACAAAAAAGGAGGCCACAGCGAACTGTGGAGTCCCACATACTAAATTAAGGGAAAGCTAAGCAGACAAAAATTCCAGATGTCTCTTGCATTCATTCTTTTTGAAACTCTACTGTACATGGCAGCCATCTTTATGTGCAATACTGCTGGAAATTGGCCCAGGAAACTTTTATGTGCTATATCCTTCAGGGTTAACCCAAAGAAAATTCCACTCAGGGTCCAGTTTACATTCAAAACCTTGCCTTTCCTGAGACTCTTCAGAACTATACTATCAAGTTGTATGTTTTCATAACTATTTTAAGTAATAATGTTTTTATTGGTTTCAGTACCACTAATGCTTTTTATACCAAAAAATATAGAGCTTTTATAGAAATAGGACATCAAATTAATCATAGCAACCACTCCATTCTGATAGCAGAAGATCAGCTCTAAATCTAACACCGCTTGAGATATTTGAGATAGTTACTCAACTTTCTAAGTCTCTGTTTCCAAATAGGTAAAATTTGAATCCATGCACCTGGGTGAATTCAAAAATGTTTCTCAGACCTAAGATTTATGTGAATAAGTCAAATATATTCAGAATTCAAGGATTATCTGTCAAAAGCATTCAGAACCTACGTGATTTTTTTCACCATAATAATCAATTGCAGCAGTTAAATATCATAAAGTTATAAAATACAAACCTATATCTAATAAATCTAAGCACATCTTTCTAATGAATTTGACATTTCATTGTAGACA